AGAGGAGCAGGAAGGCTTCCTGCTCCTCTGATGCTGCTTGGCCTGCTGTGTTCATCCAGCTGTACACCTTGTTATCTCAGATTCTCTAGCATCTGCAGTTCCTACTATCTCTGAAACATCGTGGTGAATCTCTTTTGCATCCTCTCCAGCACAATCGCATTATTCTTGGAGTTCTATTAGTCTACATTCTCTCAAAGCAGATGTTAAAGTTCATCAGAAGTTAGATTCCAGTCTAACGGCAGTGGGGCAGTTGGAGGTTTTGAGATAGATGGTGGAAAGATGGACATCAGTGTCATCAGTATACAGGTGAAAGCTTTACCTACACTGTCCAGGAGGGAAAGATCTCTGAATTTACATTGCATGGAAGAACAAAAACCCATCAGGATGAGAGTGGTTAAGGAATGTTGAAACATTCTTACCGTACAGGCAGTAGAAAGCTGGTTTCTTACTAAATGAGGCCACACAAACTCTACTAAAATAATATAAAGAACTGCAGATGCTGAAGATCTGGAACAAAAACAGAAATTGCTTGAGAAACTCAGCTGGTCTGGCAGCATCTGTGGACAGAAAGCGAGTTAATGTTTCGAGTCCGGTGACCCTCGCCACAGATGCTATCAGATCGGAGTTTCTCCAGTTTTTTGCAACAATTATATCCAGCTTTTCATCAAATGATAAATGAACACGTCAGTGTTATTTTGCATCTTTCATGACAATAACTAGCTGGTAAATTAAATAGTCAGCAGGAATCTCTGGGAAGAACAATTTTACTTCTTAAACTTCTTTGTTACCTTTTCTTCTCGTGTGGTCCCTCCTCCTTCTCTTCCACTGCTGTCCCTGGGCTGCATTTCCAGTACAGTACGGAAAAGCTTCTCTGAAGTTAGTGTCAGGAACCCAATCTCTGCATTTGGGTGGAGACCATACAGGTAGGGAGACTCAGGTGGAAGCAGATCATCAATGTACTGTCAACAAAAAGAAACAGGTTAAAAAAAAACACATTTGAATTAAAGGCTATATGTAGATAATATAAATACTTTGGATGTATAAATGCAATTTTTTAAATATAAATCAGTAGATTTCTCATGTCAGCACCAGAGGTAGAGTGGAGATGACCAGGTGTGGAGCTGGAGGAACACAGCAGGCCAGGCAGCATCAGAGGAGCAGGAAAGCTGACATTTCGGGTCTGGACCCTTCAGAAACTTTTTTGTGTTCATCCAGCTCCACACCCTGTTATCTGAAATGGTTTTCACCTTGGTCTAACCTTTGAAGTCTAAGTACAAAATCTTGATGGGATACTCCACCTATCTGTTGAGGCAAGATTTCCAGATTGACAGCTTTTCATAAACTCCCAAATTGCTTTCAGTTGTGTAAGCAAATCTATAAGAATGATCCCATTCTTACTTTACAAAAAAAAAACCTTTGTAAATCAGGAGAGAGAGCAGCTTAGTCCTGACTCTCTTTATTTGGACTGAACCTGCATCCTAAGGATGTAAAAAGATTGCATGGTCTGTGTTTATGGGATGCATGCTGTTAGAGTGATACTCAACAGAACAAACTATGTAGTTTGAAATGCTCCACTGCTATTGTCCATTAATTGGTCCATAATAAGCCCAAGTGCTGCTACTAGATTGCTTTTAAATTGGGCTTAAATTCCCTACCCCAGAGAATCATGGAGGCGAAATCACTGAAGTATTTAAGGGGGACGTAGATATTGAGAAGTTGAGGCCTATAATGAGCTGGCACGAAAGATGAATTGAGGTTTTGGATAGGTCAGCCATGATGGTGTTTAATGACAGGACAATGCTGAGGGGCTGAACGGCCTGCCTCTATTTCTTAGGTCATGATGCATTGAGAGTCAAAATTCAGAGTACATTATTTCGACAAACAGTGTTCAAAAGTTCCATGTGAAATTGAAGGCAGGGTTAATTAATCCCACAATTAAATGTCAAAACGGCAGCAGAAGAGTCCCAACAAAAATGTATGTCTTCCAGTCGGGATTGGTCGATTAATCTGAAAGCATCACATTAATTTAAGCTAGGAAATATTACAATACCATAACCTTGACTCTTGAAAGGGGTTTCAGATTAATCGACCAATCCCGACTGGAAGACATACATTTTTGTTGGGACTCTTTTGCTGCCGTTTTGACATTTAATTGTGGGATTAATTAACCCTGCCTTCAATTTCACATGGAACTTTTTCACATGTCATCATAACTAGTGGATTATTGAAGGTAATTAACTGGTCAAAAGAGGTGGGTTTGTAATTAAATGGGAATTAATCAACTACCTGATGATAGCCATTGTAGTCCAAGTTGGGAGGGAGAGGGAATCCTGCTGCCAATAACACTTCCCCTTCCATCATCTCTGGTTTAATAAATTCTTCCAGGTAGGTTCTGCATAGCCGCCTGTCCCAATCATCGGTGATATGCCCTCCATACATAATCTCACCAAACAGATAGCGCAAGTCATCATATGGGACCTATAATGAAGCAAATAGTTATTTAAAACAAGAACTGCTGTAAGCGCATAGCAGGTCCATTAGCTGCTTTGAAGATAAATGATGAGCTTATGTTCCATTGGAATGCCAACCAGATATTACTCCATCCATCGTCGGTACAGCTGTTAGACTTGTGAAATTTTCAGTATTGTCTAGGTGATCGGCATCCCAATATCTTTCCCTTTATACGTCTTCTATATTTGTTGTTCAATTGCATGGCAACCACGTCAAGTCTTACAGTTTTGATGATCTCCCCTGAACATGGTCCAAGTACATAATTCAATTGAATGAACATGCTTCTTTTTCTTGATCAGCCCCAGCAACAGAAGGTGCATCTTAAAAAGAGGCAATGAATCAATTACACATGATGAGAAAGACTTATTTATTTCTTCACTATCCTCTGGATCATCCATATTTGATTACAGAAAGTAATAGACTGCCCGTGGTTCATGTTACTAGTTAATAGCAATGAACGAGTCAAGCAGATTTTGCTTCATTCACAGTCGGAGCTCTGACAGATTATGCAACAAGCTGAGCTAAAGGCGTGTGGTTTTTATTGAAAAGTAGAGAAAATTCTCAGAATTCATCTCAAACATTAGTTTTAAAATTCTGGAATTGTATGAAATTAAAATGCAATTCAGCTTATTTAGTTACCATTAAATGTGTGACCTTGCAATGGAGTGGGTCCTTAAATATGACCATTTTCAGTTAGCATTCTTTCCCAAAAGCTTAGGTCACACACTCAAAAAAGATTCTTAGAATTCAGTTCATTTCGAAGATTGTGGGAAGGGACAAAGCGGAAGTCTGACTTCTCAGTTTGTATCTGAAGGATTCTAGTTGAGTTATTAATGCTGTAAGTGTCACCTTAATTCATTTATTTTAACTTGGCTCCTTGCTCGTAGGAGAAAGGAAACAGACCCATCCTTAATGAAACTTATTTGTTCACACTTGTACAGATCCATGCTGCGTGGAGGTAATCCATTTCTCCTCTTAACTCTTTAATTTTTAGGCCACGTCAGAAAACAACAAAAAAGCTTTTCTACCCACAATTCAGAAGCATTCAAGCATTTTGCATGATAAACACCATCACTGTTGAACTTGGTGCAGATGAAACATGGAGAAAAAAGATACTCTCAGCTTAAGTGGGATTTTTTTTAATATATTCTGCTGCAGTGGGCACATTGCAATTTACTCTGGAGGGTATTTTGGAGTCAATATGCTGAGAAAGTATCAACAACCAGAGGAGTGATGGATAAACATATATATTTTAATTAACAGAGCTTAAATTCAGCAAAACAGCAACAAATAACTTGCATTGTCATAGCATCCTTTACAACTTTAGAAAATCCTAACGCAATTTACAGGCAATGAACACCATTATTGGAATTGCAGTTGTACTGTAGTGCAGAGGATGTGCAAAACAGCATCCCACAACCAGCAATGTGATCATGGCCAGATAATCTGTTTTTAATGTTAATTGAGGGATAGTTAAAGACCAGGACATCAGGGAGAACAATTCTGCTTTTTTTCCCAAATTGACCAGCGAGATCTTCATGTTCACCAAAGACGGCAGGGAGGCAGATCACAGTTGATGGTACCTTCAATAATACAGTTTGTCCTCAACTCCCATTCGACGCTGCTTATTCTGAATCCCATGGTAGGATTCACCATGGTTTATTTTTGTTTTTAAGCAGATTTCTGGCAGATAATTCACGTATAAAGTAGGTTTCAGTTGGTATCTAAGAAACTAACATTTGATCCTTTCAATTAGGAGGGATTCAGGTAGCCCAGGACATAGACCCAACTCATTCCTTAGCAGATTACACAGCATGACAGCCATTCAGAAGTTGAAAATTTTGCCCCGGAGGCATTAGGCCCAGAGATAACATTTTCTTTCTAAAAGCAGTATTTTTAAGCATTCAATATGAATTCAGCTAATTAATTGCCATGGCTAATGTTTGTGAATTGCATAATGATGACCGTTGGTCATATGCAAAAATGTAACTCTCAAAACAAAAGTATTTTGTTAAGATTGATGCCAAACCTGAAATAAAGGCACAGATATTAGAGTCACCATCACAAGAAACCATCCAAAGAAACCTGCTTGAACTTTTCTTGAGCTACCTGTTAGAAGCTAACTGCCTGGCCTTTAAAATCAGACAAGGGTAGAAGGTATTACTTCTAGTGCATACTAGTCCCTACATGAACTCACCCCTACTTAAGTTTTACTCCACATCAACCAGGCAATTAAATTCATTATGAATGTAAAAGTACACCAGCGATTTAACTATGAGGTGTCCTTGTGTTGTAGTGACAGCATTCCAGCCTTTGAGCCTCAGTCATCAAGGAAGGTGTGTTCACAATATAGCCAAACTGGATGACTATCAATTTCTAAATGCCAAGAGCAGGCATTAAGAGTGATCAGCACACGCTGTGTGCTAGAAAGAAATTACAACCATTACCATCACTATCCAGACTCCAGCAACAAGAAAAGGCTATGTTTCCGCAGCAACTAGGGCTCCTTCAAGGGGCCAGTTGGCTGAGCGGCCAGTGTGGATCAGATTGGTGCCAACAACACAGGGTGTGATCCGTGTTCGGACTGGATGAATTTGGGAACTTCCTCCTTGCCTGACCTGTTCTGACGGTTGTGGCACCATGTGGTGAACCTGCCTTCTGACAGAGAACACAAGAGGAAGAAGATAAACACTATAGATTGCCACAGTCGGAAGCCAGTTACAAATGTGCCCTTTCAGCACACAGCAAGTTAGCTTGTTGTATTAATTATGCATGCTGTCTACTCAGTTAAGTGGGTAAATGGCCACCTGAGAAGCAAATGGCATTTGCCATGCAAGTTTGATTAAGAAACATTAGGGTACTGCTTTTGAGCATTATTTTGGAACACTTTCTCTTCACAGACATACTGAAGTCTGTAATGATTAGTATTCTTGCTGTGCTAGGAGCACTGCAGTTGTATTTCTCATTGATGTGAGATGCTTGTGAAAATATAAAGCAGTCACCAGGTAATGAAGTTGGGGGAAATCAAACTGAAATGCACTATTAGTCTGACAGAGGCAAACATAAAGATTTATCATAAGTCCACAATGATTAAGAGAGGCCAACATTACATTTTACACTTATCACAAGTTGAATTACTTTTGTTACAAGCTAAAAAAAATACTATTTTTAAGCAGAGATGCTACAAATTGTGATGGTGACAAAAAATGAAGAAGCATCTTCATATTCATGAGCAATACTTGAGGTCTTTCTTTCAGAGTAGAGACATAAAATCTTGATTGATACTTCAGAAAATCTTAAATGTTACTTCACATGTGAATGCTTGAAAACAATTGTCCACTGTGACTGTTGTCTGTCCTTTCTGTTTTGTTGTGTGGTTTTCTGTCCATATCCATGAGTTTGGGTTCAAGGCAGGCTGGTCAAGGTGAAGATAAGGTCAGGAACTGTCTTCAGGTTTAGACTTCTTTATGACACTGCTTATTTCATTTTCAGACTAAATATATAATACATGGCATTCAGAGATATACTCTTGCTGTTACATTATTGAAAGATTATTCATAAACTCTGTTACATAATGCGTGTCAAACTACTTGACAGATTTCTCACTTCTACATGGCTAGACTTACACATAGCTTCTTTGTAGATCTCCATTTGTTTCTATTTATTCCCAGTGAGAAGCAGCTCCAAAACATCATCCCAACGTTACTCTAGAGTCCTAGAACTCTTACACAATAATTTAGAATCCCTACAATGTGGAAGCAGGCTATTCGGCTCAACGAGTCTACAATGACCCTACGAACGGCATCCCATCCAGACCAGACTCCTGCCCTGTGACCCTGTATATCCCATGGCAAATCCCCCTGATTATTCATGAACACTATGGGCAATTTAGCAAGGCCAATCCACCTAATCAGCACATCTTTGGACTGTGGGAGGAACTGGAGTAGACACAAGGAGAACATGCAAACTCCACGCAAACAGTTGCCCAAGGGTAGATTCAATCCTGGGTCCTTGACATGATGAGGCAGCAGTGCTAATCACTGAACCACCATGCTCTTAAAGCATACCCTCTTAAAGTCAATGCTATTTTACTAAGATTCATTTCCAAAGGGAATGGCTTCCATAATAATTTTCCCAAATTGTCGTTGCCACCCAACTGTAATGGGTGGAAATCCCTACTGGTCAATTCAGGTCTGAACACTTAAGTGATCATGCAGTTTGTTATTGTAATCAATTACACTGCCAAGTTTTAAACAGGTTAGAATCTTATAAAGAGCCCCCCTTTCACTTGAATAATGCTCTGCACCACAGAAATTAGGTCGCTTTTACTCAACTCTCTGTAGTCTCTTCTTTTGTCCATACAAGCTGCAAGGAGTGCTCATTATTTGACCCTGTAAGAACCTCAATTGGTGATGGAACAGGAAGGTCATGCTTGAGCCTTCTCATCCAGAACTTAATTTGGACAAAACGAAGAAGGCAGTCAGCTTCTGGCCTGCCATTATTCCACCTTATTAAACTCTTTTCCTACCTCTAGGCCTGGAGGACTGCACCTATCACGACCACTTGGATTTAGAGATTATCCCTGTCCCTGATACAGAAAATTGAAAAAGTACATGCCTACATCTGTTTCCATTGCCTTTTTTCTGCTGGAGCAGATCACTAATCCATCATCAGACGCTAAGGTTTGAGCACTGCCATTCTACATCAAAGTTAGAAGTCACATGACACCAGGTTATAGACCAACAGGTTTATTTGAAATCACAAGCTTTTGGAGTGCAGCTCCTTCGTCAAGTGTAGTGAAGTGCCCTGCTCTGTCACTTCACCTGACGAAGGTGCTGTGCTCCGAAAGCTTGTGATTTCAAATAAACCTGTTGGACTATAACCTGGTGTCATATGATTTCTGACTTTATCCACCCCAGTCCAACACCGGCACCTCCCCATCATTCCACATCAAGTATGGCTAACCA